TAAATTAAAAATTAGCCTTTATACTATAATAATATAAAGAAACTTATTTATATATAGTAATAATATATAAATAGTAAAAAAGTTAATATAAGTTTACTTTACTTTTAATTTAATATTATTTTAGTAGCTAATATTATAGTATAAAATAAATAATATAGTAGGCTTTAAAAAAGATTAAAGCTATTTATTATTATAAAAAAAAAAGAAAAAAGCTATAGCTAAGCTTAGCACTAAGCTTACCTTTAGTAAGGTATAGTAAAAAAAGCTACTTACTTTACTAAAGTAGTATATTAATACTTTAAAAAAGGTAAATAAATTAAAAAGAGAGAAATAAAAGTAGCTTATACTTATAATGCTTATACTCTAAGTAAAGAAGGCCTATACTATTAAAATAGTAGTAATAATAATAATAAAAAAAGCACTAGTAATAATAATAATAATAATAATAATAAATAAAAAAATAAAAGGGAAGGGGGAGATAACTAAGGGGTTATAAAGTATTAGCCTAAGAGTAATAAAAAGCTATAGTAAAACTATATTTTTTTTTATATATATATTTTTTTTTTCTTAATTTAAATAATAAAAGTATTTATATTAATATTATTTTACTTTTATATTATTTTTATAGTATACTTATATATATTTATTATATTACTTTATTTTTTAATATTATTTTTTTATATATTATTTAAAGTGCTTTTTACCTTAGTAGCTTAGTAGGTTTAGCTTTTTATTAGTATATATTTATTTTCTTTAGCTTAATAATTCTATAAATAAAGAGTAAGTATATACTATTTAAAGTAGCCTATATAAAGTAGCTAATAGGTAAGGGTAGTAGCTATATATAAGTTATTAAAGGCTAAATAAATATTATAGTAAGTCTATAGTAATATCTCCCTAGAGATACCTTAGTATAAATAATTATAATAAGAGTATTTAAGTAAAATATAGTATATATTTTTATAATCCTTTTAATACTAGTATATAAGTAAGTTTACCCTAGAGATATATTATTTAAATAAAAAAGCCTATAGCTTAATTTTTTTTATTTTTATTTAAATAAAAACTACTAATTTATACTTAAATAAATTTTTATAAAGATATAAAACCTTTTTTATTAATTAAAAGTTAGGTTTATAGTTAAATACTATAGGCTTAAGGGGGTGCTATTATATTTATATAATAGCTTATTTTTAATACTATTTATTTTTTTATTTTTAGCTTAATTTTACTATTAATAGTAAAATAATAATAAAAGTAAGTAGTTTTTAACTTAAAAATAAAATATATAAAGATAGTAATTTAAAAACCTATCTTTATTAAAATAGCTAATACTATAAGTATACTATTATTAATATATAAATAATTTAAATTCTTTTTACTATTTTATTAGCTTTAATTTTATTATAAAAGTACTTAATATAATAATTTAAGTAAAAGTTAATTAAAAGAATTATTACTTTAATCTTAAAAAGGGAGTATAATATAACTTAAAAGGCTTTAGTTATAATTTAAAAATACTTATTTTATTTTATAATAAAGGCTTTAGCTATACTTTTTACTACTTTACCTAAGGTAGTAAAAATATAGTATATTTTTATACTATATAACACTAAGCTTTATATAATTTATATATATAGTAATTTAGCTTTTTATAATTAGTATCTTTATATAAATATTACTAGTAAAGTAAGGGTAAGCTATTATTAATATAGCTTTATAGCTACTTATATTTAGTATTTCTTTTAGTATAGTTTTCTATAAACTTATACTTTAAAAAAGTAAGTAAATTAAATAGGCTAAACTATAGTAATATTAAGGTAAATAAATACTATAACTATATAGTAATATTTTATAAAGTATATAAGCTTACTTTTTTATAAATAAAAAACTAAGCTAAATTTAATAAACTATAATTTATAAATATATTATATAGCCTTAAGCTAGTTCTATATTTCTTCTAAGGTATAGCTATATATAAAAATATTTATATTATTTAAAAAACTAGAAACTAAGGTAAAAAGGGCTATATATAAAGCTTTATAAAAAGAGGTAATATATAGAAGGAAAAGTATAAGGAAAATAAGAAACCTTTATAAAACCTTTATAAATATAAAGATAAAGGTAATAGTTTTTTCTTTAAAGAAAAAGTAAGCTATTTTTATTATAATAAAGGTATAAATTTATTATAATATTTAGTTAAGGAGGCTTATATAGTATATAATATAAATAAGCTAATTATAGTATATTATATTAAAGATAATAAAGATATTTAGTTAGAGAAATAATATAATTTTACTATAATATTATATTACTTTTATTGCTTTAATAAGAACACTAAAGGTAACCTTTATTAACTTATTTACTTAGTTTTTTATTTAGAGTTTTAGTAAAGCTAAGCCTTTTTTAGCTATACTAGTAATTTATATTATTATTATAGCTTTTAATACCTTATTAATAATGCTTAGTAAGAAGATAGGTTTTTAAGCTTTAGCTTACTTTTATTTCTTTAGTATTTTTCTAAGTTTATAAAAAATAATAATTTTAGCTTTATAAAATAAAGCTAAGTAATACTTAAGGTAATAATAATAATTTAAAAGGTAAGTAAGGATTTAGGCTAAAGGTAGGCTATATACCTTTAAAAAGCTAGCTAGAATTTTATTAAGCCTTAATATCTTTTAACTTATTAAGTAATAAATAATATTTTAAATTTTAATTTAATTAAAGTATTTCTTAAGGGGGAATAATATAGTATTAAGGTAAAAGTATAGCTAGGCTAGTATATTATTTATTTTTATATATAACTTAAAGAAAAAGTAATTAATAAAAATAAATACTTTATTTTTATAGCTTATATAAAGTATAGCTATAATATCTTTACTTTAAATAAGGTTTAGAATTTATTATAATTTAAAGAGAAAGCTACTATAAAAATAGGCCTAATACTTAAGCTTTTATAGGTTACTATAGCTAATAATAGCTTTATTTATTACTTTATACTATAAACTATAGTATTTATTATAAACTACTTAGGCTTAAATTACCTTTACTTTAGTAATAGCTTACTAATTAAAATCTAGCTTTATAGCTCTTTATTAATATTATACTTTCTTAGCTTATTATATAGCTATTTAAACTTATTAGTTTTATTATAAAGCTAAGCTAATATTATATAGCTTTCTTTTTAGTATTACTTTATTTACTATAGCTTATAGCTTCTTTATTATTTACTTAATATAGCTATTAATCTTATAAAGGCTATTAAATAAAGGGTTAGTATTATTATTATAAAAGTAATATATAGCCTTTTTAATAATAAAGTTAGGGTTTATATTCTTTTAAGTATATTTTAATATTATAAATAGTATTATATTATTTATAATACTAAACTATATAAGCTATAAAATATAATTAAACCTAGCTAAGTTTAGGCTTTTTATATATTTAGCTATTATATTTTAAGTTAGCTAGGTATAATTAATAATACTATTTTATTTTCCTTAAAACTATTATATAACCTTATTAAAAGGCATTAAAAGAGTAAAATATTATTAAGCTATAACCTTAAGTAAAAGTTTACTTTTAAGGAATATATATTTATATTTATTTTATAATAAGTAATGCTAAGTAAAGTTATCTATAAATATATTATAGCTTTAAAGTAAAGCTATAGTAAAGTTATATAAAGGGATTATTTAGTTTTTTTTATAAAGAGAAAAGTATATAAAGTATATATTAGTATTATATAAGTATACTAAATATTAATTAATACTAAACTATATTAACTATAACTTAAGGCTATATTAATAATTTATATAAATAGCTATTTAGCTACTTTAAATAGTAAGTTAAAAGTAGCTAAGGCTAGGGTTTAAAGGTATTTTATTATTAGTAATTAGTTTTTAAATTACTATTATATTAACCTTAATTTAATAGTATAGTATTACCTTAATAAAGTATAATTTCTTTTATATATTCTAATATATAACTTATATTATATAATTTATTAAGTAGTACTTAGTATATTTAGGTTTATTATAATTATAGGTTATTAGCTAAAAAAAGCCTTTATATTGCTATATACCCTTAAAGTTATTATAGCTAAATAGGTATTAAATAATTTATTATGATGATGATTGTATTACGCTAGCAGCCTTTGCAATTTATGCTAAGCTATATCTAGAACCTCTGCTTCTTAGTGTTTATCTAGTTACAGGAAAACCTTTATTAGGTTACTAATTAGCTATATTATATAATTGCTTATATAATATATTACTAATTAGTAGTTGCCTAATAGGATGAAAAACCTAACTAAATACAAGATTATTTTCTGCTACTTAGAATCCTAAGAACCCTAAGTCCGATTTCCTTCCATTAAAGCCAGTTAAACATTTGTACCTTCGCTACCCTACACCTGAAATTCTCCACTTTTTTTGCCCCGCTTTTCTACCTTAAATACCCGTTAAATCCTTAGCAATTACGGCTGCAACCGGCTCTGCACCCAAAGAGCTAGGGGGTACGTATTGCCCATTTATATAACGCGGGAGTGGCTAATCCGCAGCGCTTAGTAAGCTTAGATAAGTGGGGGGACCAGACCCACTATAATCCTCGCTTACTAAGCTACTAATTAGCTAGAAAAAGCCCCCACTTTTTCTAGCCAATTAGGGTCCAGTCTTTTCCTTAGTGCCACCACAACACTAAGGAAAAGACCCCCCCGTGCAGGTTTCGAACCTGCAACCCGCACAATTCTTGCTTATGTAAGAAAAGTGTTGGGGTTTGCCACGGCGCTTGACCACTGCGCCACGGGGTAAATAATTTATTATAGCTACTTAAGAGTTTACTAATATACTTTTATAGTAAAGCTTTATAAAATAATAAAAAGCTTACTTTTTATTAATAGCTATATAATTTAACTTTAATTTATTTAAATACTATTTCCTTTAAGTTAGTAAAGGCCTAAGGGTAGTATAAATATATTACTTTTATATAAAACTATTATTTATTTATAATTAAATAAAGTTTTAATTATACTATATATAAGCCTAAGTAGTTATAATAGTATTTTTAAGCTACCCTTATTAGTACTAAATAAGCCTATTTACCCTTATTATACTAACTAATAGTATAGTAGCTATACTATAGAGTTACTTTATAATAAGCTATAATATAGCTAAACTTATAGTAATAAAAGTATTACTAAAGGTATACTATATTATTATATAGCTTTACTTTAAAGATTTTTACCTTATAAATAATCCTAGCTTAGTAAAGCTAATTAGCTACTTTAATACTATTAATACTAATAATAAAAAGTATCCTTATTATAATACCTTTAAACTTTTATATTATTATTTAAATAAAGCTAGTATTATTAGTATTAATAAGGTATTAAAGAATATTTTCCTTAGGTTAGTTTTATATATTTTTTATAAAGAAGCCTTTAATAATAAAACTAAATATTCTTTAGTTTAATACTACCTTTAAATTAAAAGTAATTTAAACTTAAGCTATATTTATAATATATAGCTTAGCTATATCTTTAAAGGTAATAACTATATTACTACTATAAAAATAGTATATTACTATAGTAATATTTACTTTAATAGTATAATTAATTACTTATATAATTTTTTTTAGTATTTAGTTTTTTACTATTTTATTAATAAAAAGTTTTTTAATAATAGCTTTATAGTATACTTAAGGTAGTATTATTATAATAATAATATTTTAAATTAAAAGGTTTTAACTTATAATTTTAATTTTATTAATAATAATACTAGCCTATATTAATATTATTATTTATTCTTTTTAAAGAGCTTTATTTACTACTTATTTAACTATAGCTTTAAGATTTTATATAGTAAATACTATATTAATAAAAATAGTAAGAAAGGTTATAAGCTTATAAAAGAGGTTTTTATAGTAAGTATAAGTTACCTTTATATTAAAAGTATAAAGAAATATATTCTATATACTTTATAGTAATACTAAGGGGATAAGCTTAGTAATTTTATTATATTTAAGCTTAAGGTATTTTAGTATATAATTTTATACTACTTTAAGTATAAGCTCTCCTTAGGGTTTTATTATAAAGCTACTTTATTCTATAAAAAAGTAATAATAACTTTATATAAAACTATAATTTTTACTATTAATATTTATTAATATTACCTTATTTATTATACCTATACTTTAAGCTTAATGCACTATTAAAGAGAGAGGTAAATAAATATAATAATTCTTTTTATTAGCTTTTTAAGCGTTTTAAAGTTAATTTTGCAGCGCTATAGCAGTGCGGGCAAATTCGCAAAACGTTTTTAGCTTATATAATATAATAACCTTTATTTTATAAAATAATACTAAGTAATAACTAATTTAGTAGTATATATCAAAAAAAGTAAATAATATTTTAATAAGTAATTAACTATAAGCTTTAAAAAACCCTATTAAAAACTTATTAAAGTTAAGTACTTCTTAATTAATAAAGCCTTTTATAATATTATAAATCTTATTATTTATAAAATAGTTTTTAGCTAGAAATAAAATAATATTAAGTTAATACTATATTAAAGTTAATATATTATTAGTTTAAGCTATAAATATAAAGAAAAACTATTTAATAAAAACTATAGCTTTATTTTTATATAAAGCTATAAGTATTAAAGAGTTAGTTTTTTTATAAAGTAAGGTTAGTATTTATTAGAATTTTAAGGAAATATTACTTTAAAGTTAATTTAAATATTTAAGTTTTTATAAGCCTTTATATTTTACTATAGCTATATTTACTATTATATACTAAAAGCTTTACTATTTATTAGCTATAATATAAGCCTAAGTTTATATTATTTTAATAATAAGTTATTAATTATTATTAATATAATTTAATCTTTATTAATACTTAGTATATTTTATATTTAAAATAGCTATTTATATTTACTAGTGTTACTATAAATAATGCTTAAAAGCGCCTTAAAGTAAGTATAATATTACTAGGTTTATAATAGCTTTAAGTTTAGTTAGAATTTAATAGGTAAATACTTTAATATTATTACTATTTTTTAGTAAAGAAGCAGTAGCTTTAGGGTAAAACTAATATATTACTTTACTAGTAATAAGGTTATTCTTTATATAAAGCTAATATAAAAAAGGGGTTTTAACTATAAAGAAATAAAGATTAAAGTTAAGTTAAATAAGCTATAGTATATAATTAAACTTAATAAGGTTAGCTCTCTTTAGATATTAAAGGGAAATATTTAATATAGCCTAAATATAGTTAATAATATTATTATATTTATAGTAGGACTACTATATAATTTTCTCCTAAGGTATTTTAAGACTAAGTTATTACTACTTTACTACCTAGAGTAAAAGATTACTACTTACTAAAGTTCTCTCCTCTTTATTCTATAGAGGGTAATGCTAGTTAAAGTCGCTAACGAATACGCTATGGATTAAAAAGATATTATTATATTTATATTATAGTTTATTTTTAATACTATTTATTTTTTATGTTTTATTTAATTTTTTTATTTATAGTAAAATAATAATAAAAATAAATAGCTTTTAATTTAAAAATAAAATATATAAAACTAGTTATTTTAAAACTTATTTTTAATAAAATAAATATTACTAAAGGTATATTATTATTATTATATAAATAATTTAAATTATTTTTAATATTTTATTAGCTTTAATCTTTTAATAAAAGTATGTAATATAATAATTTAAGTATAAGTTAATTAAAAAAACCATTACTTTAGTTTTAAAAAAAGAATATAATATAATATAAAAAGCTTTAATAATAATTTAAAGGTATTTACTTTATTTTATAATAAAGGCTTTAGCTATATTTTTTATTATTTTACTTAAAGTAATAAAAATATAATATATCTTTATACTATATATAATTAAGCTTTATATAATCTATATATATAATAATTTAGCTTTTTATAGTTAATATTTTTATATAAATACTATTGATGATGATAATGATTGTATTACACTAGCAGCCTTTGCAGTTTATGCTAAGCTATATCTAGTACCTCTGCTTCTTATTGCTTATCTAGTTATAGGAAAACCTTTATTAGGTTACTAATTAGCTATATATTATATAATTACTTATATAATATTTTTACTAATTAGTAGTTGCCTAATAGAATAAAAAACCTAACTAAATATAAGATTATTTTTTACTACTTAGGATCCTAAGAACCCTAAGTCTAATTTCCTTCTATTAAAAGCTAGTTAAATATTTATACCTTTGCTACCCTATACCTAAAGTTCTTTACTTTTTTACCCTACTTTTTTACCTTATAATACCTATTAATCCTTAGTAATTATAGCTATAACTAGCTTTATACCTAAAGAGCTAGGAGGTATATTACTTATTTATAGCGTAGTAATAGCTAATTTATATTATTTAATAAGCTTAAATAAGTAGGGGGACTAAACCTACTATAATCCTTACTTATTAAGCTACTAGTTAGCTAGAAAAAGCCCCCACCTTTTCTAGCTAATTAAGGTCTAGCTTTTTTTTAGTATACTGTCCTTACTATATATTAAGGAAAAACTATACCCTATGTAGGAATTAAACCTATAACCTGTATAATTCTTACTTATATAAGAAAAGTGTTAGGGTTTTCCACAGCGCTTAACCACTGCGCCACAGGGTATATAAATACTATTAATAAAGTAAAAGTAAGCTATTATTAATATAGCTTTATAATAACTTTTAATTAGTATTTTTTATTATAATTTTCTATATATTTATACTTTAAAAAAGTAAGTAAATTAAATTAGCTAAGCTATAGTAATATTAAGCTAAACTAATTTTATAATTATATAGTAGTATTTTATAAAGTATATTAGCTTACTTTTTTATAGGTAAGAAAATAAGCTAAATTTAGTAAATTATAATTAATAAATATATTTTATAGCTTTAAACTAATTTTATATTTTCTTTAAAGTATAACTATATATAAAAATATTTATATTATTTAAAAAGCTTAGAACTAAAGTAAATAAAGCTATATATAAAGCTTTATAGTAAGAAATAATATAAAGAAATAAAAGTATAAAAAAATAAAAAATCTTTATAAAACTTTTAGTAAATATAAAGATAAAAATAATAATTTTTATTATAATAAAGGTATAAGTTTATTATAATATTTAGTTAGAAAGGCTTCTTTAGTATATAATATAAATAAGCTATTTATAGTGAATTATATTAAAAGTAGTAAATATATTTAGTAAAAAAAGTAATATAATTTTACTATAGTATTATAATGCTCTTATTACTTTAGTTAGAACACTAAGGGTAACCTTTATTAATCTATCTACCTAGTTCCCTATTTATAGTTTTAGAAGGGCTAAGCCCTCCTAAGCTGCGCTAAAATTATATTATTAGCTAAGCTAATTTGTTTGTATAATTATAAGTAGTAAAAGAGCTTTTTTCTTTATATACTTACTTTGCTTATTGTTGGAATTGCCCTTAACGGCACAACCTCGGTGGAACGGCATAACCTCGGGAAGGTCCGATTTATAGATGCTAATTAGGCGCATTGCGTAATTAGACCCACTAACCCTAACGCTAGTAGAAAACTCTACATATAACGCTACCTTCCTTAGTCTAGCTTTTTAGTATTATTATTAACACTAATATATTATATTTATAACCCTTTTTACACTAGTGCTTTATTTATCCTTTTATAACCTTTCTAAGGTTATACTAATACTAATTAGTAGTTACTATTAACTATAGATTTATAAGGTATTTCCTAATAAAAAAAAGATAACTTCTATAGTATTTA